TTTACGAATACAAATATCTCAAAAATATTCTCTATTTTAATTTATTTTATATCTATTTTCTCTTTCTCATAAATATAAAGAAAATTCATATACACCATTGTTTACATAAGATTTATACTAAAATATAAATATAATATATTAATGATACTAAACATTAAATATTTCTGAAAAATGTAAAACTTACTATTTCTTCTGGTCTAACATAAATGCGAAATTCTGTTTTTTATAAACGTAATGTTCTCAAAAAAAACTTAGCAGAAAAGTAAGTCGATACATTATTATAAAAAAATGTTCAAATTTTTAATATCTTAATAATTGTTTTTAAATATACATATTATAATATACATAAGTCAAAGTTTCATTACAAATTGTAATATATAATTTTATAAAAAACTAAAAGATTCTCAATTTTTCAATTTCTTGAGTTATCATTCAATTTTAAGGAAACATATTGATTCAGAAAGAATCAGTTTTCATCAATTTAAAAAAGTTTTCAATATAAAAAGATATGCTGTTTTCTCGTTAGACAAAATTGATTCACTTGGGTGTTTGTCTGCCGTTTTCGTGCACTGCTTCCGACGTCGCCGTGATCGGGAAACTCGCCGCAAGCGAATTTGCAGCAAAGCATTCGACGATTGAAAAAGTCAGAGATCAGCATACTTCATACGATATGTATACAGATCCAGTTTTCTGGATTCTATTGTAAGTTTATGAAAATAATATTCCTAATTATTTATAATTACTTGCATTTGACTATTTGATTATCACAAAAAAAGTATATCATATTTTGCAAAGACAAAAATATATAAAATTTATGTAATATAATTTATATATGATCTTTATTAATATTGTTATATATTAAAAAATAAGTATTGATATATTTTGTTGATTAAATATACATGAGCAAGCAGATGCAAAAATTAGAATTTAATGCATTTTAGCGGTGTCAGTATGGTGGTTCTAATATTGATGATTCTTGGCACTGGATACGATTATTATTTATCGAAAAAAACAGCCTGTAAGAGCAATGTAATCTATGATGTAGAGAAACATGGAAAACTCGATCATCTTACTAATGGCGATCGGAAAGTCATAAATGGTAAAAAAAGTCAATGTTCATGTCTAAAAATTGTTTGATCACCTATTAATCATGTTAATTATTTACTATCACTTGTACCATTTGGAACGAGGTAGTATGAATATATTAAAATAACGAAAATTCTTGCTCCTTATAAAGAAATATTGTAGAGCATTCATGTATTTTTTGTGCATAAATTCTTTAATCAATTTAAAATTATTTTTTTAGTTGTTCTTTTAAAAATCTTTTTGATCTTCAGTCTTTTTATATTTAATATTTCTTTATAAATTTTTAAATATTTTAAATTAAAATTTATTAAAGAAAGATGAATTTTTAAAATTAAGTAAACAGGATTTTGTTAATATACATACATGGAATTAAAATCATTAGGTTTTAATCTTGGAAACTAATTTTTAAAGAGATATCTATTCCAGAAAAATAAGAAATCATGTAAGTAGAAAAAAATACGAGAAATCTAAAAGATTGTGTAAACTGAAAATTATAGAATTATAAATGCACGAGACATAAAATATAATCTTGCTTTCAGTAATATAATAACTGCTTAGAGAAAAATCATTGTTAATTTTTATTATACTAATTCATACTATAATAATTCTTAGAAATGTATATAATTTAAAAAAAAACAATAGTAATAGATACCTCATACCAGAAATACAAATTAATAATGCACGACTTACAGACCAGACAAGACAAGGACGGTATTAAAAGTCACATGATATTATTCCGTAGCCGTTCAAGGTGAGGTCTACCTTCCTGTTCCAGTGGCAGATTCTAATAGCAATGGTGTGCAGTCGATCAATAATAACAATGGTCTCGAGAATAGTTTGCAACCGTCTACCAAAGAAGAGCAACATCTTAGTATGTTAAATCATTGTCTTATTCATTAAGTATAGAAATATTCCGAGAAATATCATAAAAGACATCATAAATGAATTAAAATTATATCTCAAGAAATCTATAATAATTTGCGAACTTAAAAATTTAACATTTATTCTGTATAAAATTATAAGCAAAACTAGATTTTTCTTCATCTATTTTTTAAATTTGTTTTGATTTGATTTAATATACAATTAATTAACTAAATTAATTAATTAAAAATAAAGATATAAAAAGGTATACTTAAAGATATACTTATAAATAATAAACTTACTTATAACATATCTATATTCAAAATATTCTTTTTTTTAATTTTAATCATAAAAATTAAATGATTAAATCAAAGCAGAAAGATAGAACGGAAATTAATAATTATAAAATTATTCCTTTTTTTATTCAGATTAAAATTATATACGTGATACAATTTTATTTGTTCTTTTTAATTAATATATCCGTTGCGATATAACGTAGCTTTCAACTTTTTTATTATTTTTGTAGGTATTTTCGAAGAACTTCTACTTTCTTTTTCTGTTCCTGCTAATGTGAAGATTATCTGCGACCGTAATGTTGGCAGTGATACAATTAGCACTGTTCATGGGCTCCGAGCGATATCGATGGCCTGGGTCATTCTTGGGCACACATGCATAATCGTTTTTAAGTATTCGGATAACATGGAGTATCGCAAAGTGGTAGAGAAGCGATTCCTTTTCCAGACCATCACAAATGGCGCTTTCAGCGTTGATACATTTTTCTTCATGGGCGGTTTGCTCGTGAGCTTTCTCTATTTCAGAACCAATGCCAAAGGAGATCTAAAGAGACTCACGCAGGGCACGCGAGGTTTCGCCGCAGGCACCCTAAAATTTATTGGGCTCCTTGTATATCGATTTTGTAGGCTCACCACGCCGTATATGTTTATTCTGGGTGTAGTCGAGATCTCGATGAAGTATTTCTACACAAATTCCGTTTTTGAGCCTCCTACAGCAGATCACTATAACTGTCCCAATTATTGGTGGAGAAATTTGCTTTATATCAATACTTGGTTTCCCGTCGATCAAATGGTGTGTTTTTTTTATTTATTCCCTATTACAGAATATATCATAATTCTTTATACTTTTCGGATGTTGACTGCATAATTATTTTTATAATGCAATATTCTATAAAAATAATGACATAAAAATTATATGACATAGAATTTTAATTTCATGCTATTTATCTTTCTAAGTTTAATTTAATCTCTGTATTAGTGTCTATTTTTGATTGATCCTTTTTTACTAATCTTATTATATCTTATTATATCATCAAACAAAGATGTAAGTTTAAATTGTAATATTAATATTACAGTGTATGCTGTGGAGCTGGTATTTAGCGGACGATACACAGTTTTATATTGTGGGTGGAGTGATTTTGATACTGGCTACAAATCACTTCAAAATCGCAGCTTCCGCATTAGTCGGTTTGTTAGTAAGTTCATGGATAACTACTGGCTATATCGCTTTAGTTAATAATCATATGCCGAGCATGGATGATCCGTTGGCCCTCTTCGATAAAATCTACGATAAACCGTGGACGAGATTAGGTCCTTATCTGATCGGCATGAGCGTCGGCTACTTTCTCTTTAAGACTGATTGTAAAGTGAAAATGTCTAAGGTATGATGTTTCCGAGAGAAAATAAATTCAACGAACGTATCTAAAACAATTTAAAACCTGTGAAAGATTATGATTATATCTTTTAGGATCTTTACGATCCTTGCTTGAACATTCTTCCTTGAGGCAAAATTATAAACTTAATTTCTATTACTTAGAAAAGATTTTAGATGTTATCATTTCTAGACTACTGTCGTTATTGGATGGCTATTGTCTTCTGCGTGTCTCTTGAGTTTGCTTTATGGTCTATATGAGGCAGAACTTACACCAGTCACTGGAGCTGCGTATTCATCCTTGAGTCACAGCGCATGGGCGCTAGGTTTAGCGTGGATCGTAATAGCATGTAGTACTGGCTACGGCGGTGAGAAATAAATACATATTTGTTGATTAATCGGACTAAATGTAATAAATACTAGACTGATTAATTTGTGTGAACTACACTGAGATATTAAATCAGTACTGTTTCAGGATACGTAAATAAGATTCTATCGTGGCCGCTCTTATATCCATTCAGCAGAGTGACTTATTGCTCCTATCTAATTCATCCACTTGTGATTCGTCTAACCGCTATGAATCTAGACTCTCCGTTTCACTTAGGAAAGGATATAATGGTAAATCTGCAGCTAAGAAGAAAATTTTATGATCAATAATTAACAGGATTATCATAAAACACTTTATTTTTCAGATGATAACATTTCTGGGGCAGCTATCGCTATCGTATGCATTGTCGTTTATAGTATCAATCGCTTTTGAAGCACCGGTGGTCAGTATGCTGAAAATTGTCTCACCAAAAAAGCGGAAACGTATACAATAGAGATTAAAGTATATTTAATACATGTCATACATTCTCGTACAATTATTTATATGATCTTATTTACACATTATGTATAGATTTCATAAAGATTTGTGAAGAACAATGATAAAATATCGCGAACATTATTATACACACATATATATTTTAATACCATTTATTTGATTTGTTTCAAATATGTAAGAAATATGTAGATTTTTGTATTGCTAGATAAAATAAATTATTTCTCTTTGTATATAAATTCCAATATGGATAATATTTCATTAATGAAGAAAAATCCTTTGGAAAAAAGAGTAAATATATATATATATATA